ACATAGTGCTTCCATTAAACTATTCTAGCATTCCCTTTATAATTTCTATTTAGAAAAACGATAGTTTGCTGGCTTTACATTTATCTTGAACATTCAAAATATCCATAAATCCTTGCTCAATGACTAAATTTACCATTTCCTATTTAGTCACATTTGCATGTCTTTTTAAGATTCTATTGCGTTTAGCATAGATTTAAAATATAAGTATCGTAACTAAAAACACAACAGGTAATGAAAGACGGTTGCCATGAAAACCAGTCCCAATGTCCCCTTACTGCTTGTTCCGATGGTCTGTTGCTTGCTCCTTTACTAGTCCCTACAGCTCTGTGCTTGGTCAGTTGTTTTTCTATTTTAGTTGAATATAGTTTATTTGTAGCCTCACACCTGGTCAGTATTGCCTAGTATATTGGTGGCAGCATTGTCTGCAGTAGTGTGCTCCTTAATCAAAACTCAGAGATAACACTTAGAGATGATCTTTCTCTAATATCTATAGGCAGATTTTCCAAAACAAACTGTTCCATTTTTGAATACACAAAAATTGTGGGATGTTCCCAGTCTGCAGAGGTCAGGACCTACCAAAAGTCCAAGGAGGGAAAACCGATGAACCAGCGACAGGGTCATGGGTGGCCAAGGCTCATTGATGTACGTGGGAGCAAAAGCTGGTCCGTGTAGTCTGATCCAACAGAAGAGATAATGTAGCTCAAATTTCTGAAAAAGTTAATGCCGGTTCCAATAGAAAGGTGCCTGAACACACACCGCATCACAGTTTGTTACGTATGGGGCTACGTAGCTGCAGACTGGTCAGGGTGCCCACGCTGACCCTTGTCCACTGTCAAAAGCACCTACAATGAGCATCAGAACTGGACAGGTGGAGAATTCCAGCTGTTCCAGAGCAGATCGGTATGGCAGATGGTATGTGCAGGAGAACCGATCTGCCCTGGAACAGCTGATCGGTCCTGAAATATCACTTCTATCCGACTTTGTGACTGCGATCTCACATTCCACAAAGTCAGATGGAAGTGACATTTCAGGACCAATCAGCTGTTCCAGGGCAGGTCGGTTCTCCTGCACATACCATCTGCCATGCCGATCTGCCCTGGAACAGCCGAGAGAGCGTTGGAATTCTTCACCTTTTGCCGCTCACATATTCCACCGCTGAAAAAGTGGCTGTGATTACGTTAAAATGTGTGACCATGTGACCGGCCACACATTCCAACCCAGTCACAATATTTGATAGAACACCTGCACCAAATCCAACAAGCAAAGTAAAAATGTTGAGTGTGGCAGTGAGGCTAAATATATATTCCTAAATCTATGCTATAAAAACCTCCTTTAACACATATTATTGGAAGAGTTCATATAAACTAGCTAGTAAGTATGAAGGGGATTTTTTTGTATTGTATTGTTCTGCGACCTGCCCTTCCCATTCCGGTCTTACTTTTCCAGGTATACATTATCTAAATGTGCGCCTTTTTTAATTTAACTGTTCCATTTTCCCAACAATGTATACACCCCCATACCAGTAATCAGCATAGCCAAGCCAAGAAAATGCCTTTGGTACGCATAAGCTATAATTATATTTTTTACTTAACTGTGGTGATTGCATTATTTACATAGTCTGTTTACAGAAAACAACCATTACGAAGGAAAAAAACGTGAAACTGATATATTCCAATATGTTACATCCTGTTTGCAATTGTAATTGTCTAATTATGTCAGTGTGCTTTAGCAATGTTTGTACCCATGCATATTTATTACCCATGCATATTTATATGGATGTAGCAACTTTCCGTGATTTGAGGTAAGTTCGTGGTGTGCTCTGCCATTAGGGAAACCACACAGAGTCTGCCGGCAGTCACAGACAGCAATTAACAGGACGACTTCAATATTTGTCCTTGAATGACGTTGTATATTCTCTGTGCAAAACAATCAATTACAGTGTTCAGCAGTGGTCAGACTCTTTTCGGCGACTTTATCTTTCTAAAACACAAAGCAAACAAGAGGATGACTACTTTCTTTTAATGTGTGTGTGTGTGTGTAAACATACGTGCCAGCGATTAAAAAAAGCCAAGCAAACAATACTTTATTAAGAAAATTTACAAAAAGAACAAACATCAGAAAACACAAAGAGCTTCTCCAGAATGTAGAATATATGAACCAGTATCTTAGGTAAAAATCACCATGGGTATCCAAATCTGATGCAGATCGACCAGCTCATCACCAAAATGAGAAACAGGAAGTCTCCTATTCATATGAACAAGTTCAATAACTGATCAATGTACATTATTAACAAGGGATAACTCGCACCAGTTTGCAGATACACGTTAGCTAAAAGACTGTGAAATCTGACACTTTTGAAAAGAAAACCTTAATATAGACCTGAAGCCTTTACATTGTGGTTTTCAAGAAAAATGGAAACCCCTGCTTGATAACAAAAGGGTCTCCATCTCCAACATCCCCATAGAAAACAGTAAGACCTCTATCGCTTCATTGGTAACAATTTTTGGTTGATCGAAGCTGGTTTAGTGAAATACAAGAGCCTTAACAGACAAACATACTGTGATGTGAAGTGGTTCTCTGTGGGGATTGAAAATAACACATTTTCAATGATAATATTATAAAAATTAGCATGTAATGCTTCAAGGCTCTAAGGGTCTATTCAGACTATTGCGTTGTGGTAATACAGGTTATCGCAATGCCCTCCAACACACAGCTCTATGTGAGGTGCGATTCCATCCATTGAGAATAGCACTCCAACGCACTGTACAGTAGCTGCCAACACATGGCTCCAAACTGCAACACACATTGTGACACGCTGTGCATCAAAACATAAGGTGCATGATTGGTTCTTTGACATGCATTGGCAGCCCACTCATAGCCCAAGGGATGACCAGGTGTGAAGGGGGCTTAACTGCAGATCTCCAATCCTACAAAAACTGGGAATCTATGCTACTATATGAACGGAACCTAAACATATAGGATTATCAGTTCTCCTGTTAATCCCCTAATAGTCAAGTATGCAAGCTGCCTATTTTCACCTCTTGTCTGCGAAACATACCCGAGAGGGGGACCACACAGACCATTTGCATAACATCACTGTAATATTACAGCACTAGTGACACGCAAATTAAAAAAGAAAAAAAACGTATAGCTTAATGCCTTAATTTTTTTAGAAAAGTAATACATTGAGCAGCATTTAGGAATGCTGAGAAATATTTATGGCTTGGTTTGGATTCAGCAAGGATCTCTGGTGCAATGTTTGTTTCCGCACAAGCCACTAGAAACGGACCATACCCTTAAAGTGACATTAAACCCTCAGAATTTTTAACATAAAACAATACTGTAATGTGTGCCTTACTGTAATCCATGGTCGTTTCCCTTCTCTTTGCTGCTCTTCCTTTTAAATCTGTATCTGTTCTCATGCTGGGCAGAACTTCTGTTTTGCAGCAGACTGCCTTGTCTCTGGAATGGCTACATGGTGTCTGTATATAGGTTTGCAACCTGAGCCAGCACTACAGGAAGAGGCACTCAGCTGCAAAGGGAAGTTCTCCCCAAGCATGAGAAGACATGAGGATTTAAAAGGAAGAGCAGCAAAGAGAAGGGAAACTAGCATGGATTACAGTAAGGCACACATTACAGTATTGTTTTATGTTAAAAAATCTGAGGGTTTAATGTCACTTTAATCACTTGTGTTGTAGGGATGAGTTCCCAGTCCATATTTCATATGATCAATGTGCTATGAAGCCTGTGGGGGAGAACCAACTAAAAGCCAAGCATAAGAGTGTCTACATTTAAACAGAAAGCTTGCTCGCTATGGGCTTTGGAAATAGTTTGTTTGTTGTTCATGGAAAACGGGTGCAACATATTTTATTGCTATCAATAACTGTTCGGTTATCAGAAAAGCATTAAAAACTGTCTGCCGTCAATAGTGCAGTGTTCCCTGGCTTTTGAAAGTTAAACCATAAGTTGGCTTCCTGGAATTTTTTGAGATTTGAATATTGAGATATCCCCACCAGAATTCTCAGGCTTGAGAATTGCCATGGCCAATAGAGTAGATTGGTGATGTTATATTCCTTGAGTCTAGATTTGGGAGTCCGCAGAGTAACAACTTCTTGTGGGAGACTCAAAAAGAACGGTCTATGTTGCACCACTGCAAGCATTCAGTTCCCAAATACCATCTTTCAACTTTTAATTTCATAATAAAAAAAGCTGATTTGTTGCTAGGGGCAAGACATTTCTTTTAAACATCTTTATAAAAGTGGGATATTTTATGGTTAAATCTGTTTTGTATTGAAAATGACAGAAAAAAAAGACAGGGAACATAAGTAAGAAGGGAAATTAATTATAGCAATACCACAAAAGACATCAAACTAGAATGTCATAGAATGGATAATCCTTGGTATAGTAACCTAGTGCACACAAACAGACCATTGGTAAACATATCGTAGAAGACCACCTGAGAACCACTGGGCTAAGTACATAACTCAACAGCAAGAAAAGATATCCAAATAACCGAAGGAATTAGTCAAGTAGTCAGCATACATCCCAAGGTGATGGTGAAACCCAACATGGTGAAACCATGGAGAGCAGAAAGGACAGAAGGAAGAAAACAGAATAGAAACCTTGGGGGAAAACTAGAAACAATACAGAAAGAGGCAGGCAAGAAGGAAGAGATAAAAAAAATGCACCCTAAAGGGGAAGGCAAAATAATTCAGTATTCATACCTAAAACCAGGCTCCGGTTGAGGATGTCAGTCAGTAACCATGGATAAGTCATAGTCTACACCAGGGGTAGCCAAACTCCGGCCCTCCAGCTGTGTTGGAACTACAAATCCCATGAGGCATTGCAAGGTTCTCACAGCCACAGACATGACTCCCAGAGAGAGATGCATCTTGGGATTTGTAGTTTTACCACAGTTGGAGGGCCAGAGTTTAGCTACCCCTGGTCTACACCTAAAAGAGTCAAAATGTGGGCTAATTTTGAAAACTGCAACAAACCTTTTACTTTTTAATCCTTTGACGTTTTAACTTATTGGATGGACCATTTTCTGACTTTGTGCTAGGATTACATTTTTGTTCTATTGGCACTTCTGGGCTACCTGTGTCTGTTGAAGGCTTTTGATACTTTAGGATCCTTAAAGCTAAACTCATGTTTTCCATAGCCTCTGGCCCTGTATTAGCCTGGCTTAAAAATATATCGTCCCTTAAATCTGCTTTCTTACAAGCTGCTTCGGTCTTCCCTTCCGAGCTGTGTCGCCTCCTCTTGTGTTGCATAATGCTTGTTCGGAGAGTCTGTTTATCTTCTGGCAGTGCTGACTCACAGATCCAGGAAAGAGCCTTGGTCAGGTCCTGTGCCTGTAACCACTCTGCAGATTGGGATTTGTCCTGGCTGCTACTTCCACAAGGCTGTCTGCGATTAACATCATTTTCCACTTCGAGATCAGGAAGCTCCAATCTGTTATGAGGTGTATTTATGCAATGCTTAGCTTGTTCCCCACTTGCTAGTTCAGATGGCAAGATAGTAGTTTTGTTTCCTTTGTCAGAGCCTACTAGCCCAAGACCAGGGCACACTTTCAAATCGTTGCTGAATCCAGAGTCTGCATCCTTTGCAGCTTTATTCTTCTTTACTCTGCAGGAAGAATAAAAAAAAGCCTTGTTCTTCTCACCGCTTATGTAATTCATTAGTTAAACTTAAATAGGCTTGCTAAACGTCTTTCCTGTGTAGCGTAACAGAACTGCCACACATACATCACCGTGACAAGAAACACTGTTTGCAGGGGAATCGTATCATGCTTTATTATCTTGGTTTTCCCTGGACATGCGGGGATATACATACATACATATTTACTCACTCTGCCATGGAGAAGTTCACATTGTACTCACTAAATTTGTTACAGATGTTAAGGTCAATATTGCATACTCGGATCGGATTTCAGTAGAGGCTGAATAAAATATTATAGCACAAATAGGGCTTTTTAAGGAATGTATCCCGAGGCACTTAATGATATTACTCAATACGCGGTTTCTCCTTGCCATGATTTCCTACAGCGTATGTGTAAACGGAGGCCGAATCGCTAGAGGCCTAAAACAGCATATCATCAATCTACGTTATCAAACGCGTTTGTCACATGCCAGACGTTCTAACGGCCTGAACGCTGGAGGTATGCAAATGAGCTGCGTCAAAGAAATGTGATGGGGAAAACATGACATCACCTATTAGCAGCTGTCCCCAATTTGTTTCTTTCTGACACAATGCAGCTTTTAGCAGCAATTCCATACAGAATTATCTGGCAAGCGTCTCTACAGCACCTCAGACTGCAAGGCCCAGATTCAGACATCACAATCACCTCATGATATTGTTACCTCAGAGAGGGAACTTACATGTTTCTCAGCACGGCCTGCTCCTTCACTGTGGTGGCTAATATGTTGTTTAATTCACTTTCTCCGTGTTCAGCAAAATATTCGGATGTACTGCTGGAAGGCTCTTTCTATGGAAATGCAGAGACAACAAAACGGTAATAAAATTAGACATCGCTTTGGAAGGAGACCCAGGAAACTCTATATTAGAAGATGAAAGTTCGTCGAGCTGCGTCCAAAACTTACAGCTGTTGCTCGCTGCATTGTTCAAGTTAGCGAGGGGCGGACATTTTTCAAACCAGTCGTAGTGCTGGTGAGGTAAGAGTACAACCCTGAGGGGCTTCAGCTGGAGCATGCCAAGTTTAATAGGGGTGAAATGTAAAATGTAGCAGATTGAAGATTAGAAGGATACTGGACTTTACCAAGGATTTCCTTTACTCTATAAAGAGTCAGGACTATAAGACAGCACTATGGCCTAACAAAGCCTGGGTCTCCGGTTCGGTTACCACCAGGGACACTATCTGCATGGGGTTTCTGTGTTCTTCCTGTGTTTTAGGGATTTTCACCAGGTGCTCTGGATTCCTATTGCAATCCAAAAGGCTTCTATCCAAACTGGCCTTGCAGAGTTTGTTTTTCTGTATGACTTCTCATGATACATTAGACTGTAAGCTTACCTAGGGGCTACAGACTTATGTAAATAGTTTTATGTAGTCTGTAAAGCATATTGGAAAATGCTTGGTTCACTGCTATAAAACCAGAAGCAGAGGATGGAAAAGAAGAAGTTCAAGCTCAGTTGCCAAATAGTACTATATACTATCATTGAAAGTATATATGAACTAAACTAAGCATTATATAACATTATCCCTTATAAAATGTAATCAACATGTAAGATAACTTGTTTTCTTATTCACCAGGCACAATACACTGTACAATGTCAGGCAGGGTCATGCAGTTTGCCTTCAGATTTTTTTAAAGAATATTCCATTTTTATTGAAGTACAAGTTTTAAAAACAATTCCAGAACAATATCAGGTGCAGGCAGCAAGTGATAAGGTAAAACACTTTGCCTTCAGATTTAATTTGTGGATGGTACTTTTTACCAGAATAAAAGGCCTGATGCTATATCGACATCAGCGGTTACCTCTAAATTAAACTGGATGAATACTCAGCTGTAACAATTTTGAATACATAACAGCTAGACTGAGCTGTTGTTATAATATCTGGATGTGCAATTATAAGTGTGGGTAGCAATATGATTACCTGTGTAAATGTTGTTTGTTGCCTATATCTCCACAGGCTCTTCAACTATCCTTTGCCCAAAGGGAAATGTTTAAAGTGAGCATTAGGCATTATTATACCTTACATAATGCATACAGGTATATAAGCTCAGAATGTTATAAGTCTCCCACACATACAGTTGCATATTGCATGCAGATGGATCTTCAGTTACTAATGGCAATGGACAGAATTTCAATACATGCCTCCACACATTTAAAAAGGCTGTACAATTATGTGGGATGATCGGAGCTTGTAAAGTGACTGCAGAAGTGTACATAAGGCACCGCTAAGTGTCTGTATAATTGTTTAGTGCATTTACATTTAGTGGATTTACAGACTGCTCCCAAAGCCCCTAAATCTGGGGTGCTCTGTTAGCCAAAGAGCAAGCAGGCAAGCATGCCATTTCTTGCTTTCATTCTGGCAACTAAATGCAATGGGCAGCCTCAATGAGCAATATGGAGACCCAGGGAGAGAAGGCGGTGGGCCGCAGCCAGAACATACCAGCTATTCTTGCAGTTTACATAGCAGAGCACCCTGGATCTGGGTACCTTGGAAATATACTATAAAGTGCTTGCAGTACACGCGCAATTTGTAAATGCTGTTCATCTCCCCAAAACACTTTAAAGTAGTACTAAATGCTCAAACATTTGTCAATGATGAATCCAGATCAAACAAATGTACATTGCCCAGTAAAGTATTTCTTTGCAGTTATTCCCAAGCATTTACAGTCATCATATGTTCAAACAGCTGGCTCCAACTTGCTCAGCTCCACTTCCCTAAACTTCCTGTCCAGTACAAGATCAGAAGCAACAGAGCAGTCCTCAGCAATTGTCCATCTACTAGATTGGAGAAGGGAAGAGGGAGGAAGGAGGAGAGTGGCTTGTCTTGCTGGGCCTGTGTGTTTGTGGAGACACATAAGGGTGACTCCATAGGACCCTGCAAGGCAAAGGAGCCACCCTAAAACAGGATATCAGGGCCAGTGATCAGGGACCTGCTGATTCTGCAAGAAGCTAAAACTTTATAACACCAAGGAGCAGCATCCATTGTACGTGATTTATTCAGCATCTGAAGAAGCTTAAAAACATTTTGACTTTGACATCACTTTAAGGAAACACAAGTCATAATTACTATGTCCATGATCTGTGTACTCAATCACACATCGAAAGGTGCTTCACCTAACCTTTTCACATATATATTCTATAATATTACTAAACAGCTTTGTGGCATCTGCACTTTGGCATTTTACAATATATTGGTATAAAATTGTTGAAGTGAAAAGAAGGATTCCTAACTCCAATGTATTTTATGTGATCTCATGTACAGAGTTTTTCATTGCAGGTGTTGGCCATGTTAGGACTACTAATAAATGAAAGCGTCTTTTAACATTTCTAAACTCTGTGCTTGCTGCCAAACAATGACAGCATGTTTGAGTTAGCTTATATGTAAATGGAGCTTGCGGTTAAAAGTAAAAATACAGTACATGGCCTTATAACAAATTATAATCTTATTCTACAGTAACCAACAGCAACCAAACATCACTTTTTGTATCACATGTTCAAGAAATTAAAAAAATAGTTATTTTTCAAAGTGTTGCTGCCTCTTCCTTAAGGCAAGTCTTGAGAAAGGAGCAGGATAGCCCTAAAACACATCAACACCTTATTTTTATGCGTGATTCTTTAATGTCTGATAATAAATCTTATTTAATCCATGTTTGATTCCAACTGTCTCATCACATGATGACTGAATAACCTGTACTGGATACAAAATATGTTTGTTCTAGGCATGTCACAAGCTGATCACATCTTGAGTTATGCAATTAACTAGTCCACTGCCCTTCACTACTGCACATAGTGATATACTGTATCAGTCTATTACTTATTGCCCCTATAAATATAGTTTTTTGCACTTGCTTTCGTTGATCTCCATTGAGGCACACATCACTGTATATTCTAGGCTGTGGGTTATGTTGCCTCCTACAGGAGGGTAGACAGTAAAATAAACATGGTCTAGAGGAGGGGTAGCTAAACGTCAGCCCTCCAGCTGTGGTGAAACTACAAATTATATCATGCATCTGCCTCTGGTAGTCATTCTTGTGGCTATCAAGGGTCTTGCAATGCCTTAAGAGACTTCTAGTTAAACAACAGCTAGAGGGCCAATGTTTGTCTACCCCTGGTCTAGAGAATATACAGTGCTATGTCACTCAATGAAAAAAAAAAATCTCCTTTATGTAATGGGAACTTTCTCTACTCAGTTCCTTACAATTCGCAGCAACATCAAGCACCACCTCGTTCTCTCAGGCATGCTACTCCCAGTTTTGCCCTGTGTAAACTGTGCTGACAGTGGAGGGGAAACCCAGACATATAATCTGGCATGGCATTGGGTTCTGGTTTAGGAAGAACTTTATTTTCTGTTACAGCTTTTCATTTTCACAATGCTAACTTTTCCAATAAGCTGATGATAAAGAAAGCTACACCGATGAAACAATAAGTAATGTTACATTTGGCTATGCAGTGTAGCAAGACTGCCTGAACTGAATAACCAATCTTACTGGAGGCAAAAAAAGGTAACATATATTTATAGGAGAAGGGGTATTTTTTGTTATGCCTGCAGCTCTGTTTTAACAAATGAGCACCTCTCACATTGCAAGAAAAGTAATAGTTTAGGTGGCTGAATTAAATTATTTTAAGCTCTCCCCATGCTGAATTAATAGCCTGCTATTAATTACACAGAAGTTCCCCGAGTACGGACACCCGCACAGATGTGCCGCTTGGGTGAGTGTACGGCTGCATCCTCCTATACGGAAGTACAGGCTGCTGCGTACAATCACACGCAGCACCTCTCCTTCCCGGGAATGGCCTGCACGCCGCACGGATCTGTACGGCCCGACTATACGCTGTGTGAATTAGGCCTAAAGGTAAGCACGAAAAAACACTTAAAACAAGGAATCCCATTTGCTTTTCTTGAGCATAGCAAAAAGGGATCCCATTAATTTCTATAGCCCCTGTTCACACCTGAGTGTTTTGTCACAAGCAGAAAAGCACGTGCCACTGTAACATGTACATGTGCTTTTTGGTCCCATAGACTTTAGTGGGAAACTTCAAGCAAAAAAAAATGCTCAGGTGTGAACAGGGTCCATAGAAATGAATGGGGTTCCTTGTCTTATATCTACATAGCTCTGTCACACAGCACAGCCCTATCTGGCAGGGCAGGAAACCAGACCTTTCTCTGGTGTAGTCATGTAACACTTACAGGTCCTGTCTCCCCCAGCCTGAGACTGGACAGTGAAAGGAGAAGCAGCAGACAAATGAGCTAATCTCTCTGTGTATCCATTCCCATCAGAATGTTCATTGTTGGCACATGAGCAATGCAGCACAACTGATTGTCTCTTTGAGCTGCTTCTCTCTCTGCCAGACTGAGCTCTGCTATACAGTAAATTGCAAGAGGCTCATACCAATTAATTTCAGGTACTTACACTGCGTGCATTTAACAATACAATTAGTGATATAGCAATCAATGTAAAGCTGCATTCATCTAAGTCTATTATTGATTTATCTGCCTGGAATTCACCTTTAATAAACTGAATGCAGCACATTCAGTTGAAATGTTCATTTGAAGTTGGAGACTGTGGAGTTAACAGACAAGGCTAACATTTGGAAGATCATGGTTTGTGGTTGTTGGCTGCATTCACTCTCTATTCCAAAGGAGATTTCTCTGTCCATGCTAAGAAAGAGCATTACTGGAGAGTGCTTGTACAATATGAACTGGAAAAAAAAACCCCTTCAACGTATGAAGAGTCCCGTTTCAAATCCCAGAAGGCAGACTCTCTATACTTGTACATTTTTAATGCTGCAATT